TTAAATGAAAGCAAAACCTGCAATGATTACAGAAATAAATTGAAGTTAACGAAAGCAATAATAAGTTAAAATTGTACAAAACTAACCAATAACATGTAGACATTGCTTTTTTAACTATGCTTCAACTAAATGATAAAAACAAAAATATTCACAGGAAACAAACCTGGACAAAAATAAGGAAAGCCTCAGAAAAAATGTAAATAATGTGACCAAAGGGATATTTGCAATCTGCAATCATTCTGTAGGCCTATATATAGGGCTACAGGTAGTTACTGTGCTGTTTACTGTATGAATGGTGTGTGCCATACTCAACATGGACCAGTGGAAGCGAAGGAAAGAGCTGTCGCAGGGATTAGAAAGAAAATATTAAACAAGCATGTTAAAGATAAAGGCTATAAGAGCAGCTTGATGACCCTGTGACAATAGTGAGATTTAAGCCATGTAAAATCCTTAGGTCATCAGAGACACCTACAAGTTACATGAGAAGGGAAGGGGAGGCAACATTTAGCTTGAAGCAGTCGTTTCGTATTTAATTTCTATCATGTCTCAATTTTTTTTTTTAATATCACATTTCTTTATTTTCTGTGATTATTTTCTGTGTTTTTAAGTTTTTATGCTTTCTTTTGTGGCCTATTTTTTTTTATCTATCTTTCTTTGGATTCCTTTTAGCACTATGAATTGCCTCTTGTATGGGTGGTGCTTTCCCGTTGCTTTCTTGTATCTCTTCACCTCAGACAAACCTTGCTTAAAAGTATCTTTAGCCTCAATTGGAGTCTTATCCATGCCATGCAATTCAATACCTGGTTCAGTGCCTACCTGGTAACCGCATTTGGATTTGGAGAAAAAAAAAATGCTTTCTCAATATCCACAAACCAATAATGAATAACTTTGGAAGTCAACTGTTTTATTTTTATCAAGGCAAGATAAAAAAAAAACAACAACCTTAAAACTCTAAAATCCACATGATAGAAAGCCCAGGAAAACACAGAAAACAAACAACTTAATTGGTTTTGTGTGTCCATGGATATCACATCAAAGACAGAAAAGACATAGTTACACTAGCAAAGTAAATATGCCTTCATTAACCACAGCACCCTCAACCTTAAGCAACACTTCTGGCTGGGTGTTATAGCCGTAAAAGAAGACTTCAGAGTTTGCTTAGTCAGTTATTATAGTATTTAACCTAAAATTAGCTGCAAAATGTCCAAGTCTGCAGGGTCAAACCACATGCGCCTTAGTAGGGATGTCAAAATATAACTTCAAAAACATCCCCTGAGTTCAGAATGATGAGGGAGATATGATCAAACACTGTTTGTAATAACTGTGCTCTGAATGTCTGCAGCTCTATAAATATCTTTAGCTTTATGGGCATTCATGTTGAGCTCATAAAAAGCTGTCCTCTTCAAAGTGAGCCTGTATGTTTCTTTTCTATATGCCGACAGTTGTGATATACTCAGGTATTAATAAATACACTCAGGAAGTAAAGATGAAAACAGTCTATTCAGTACCATGTAAAATGTTGTACCATGTTAGATTACTTTTTTTTTTTAAGTTATGACAAAAAAACTAGAATTAGTTTTATTACGATTGTATGTGATACATCTACCGCATAACGTTTATTTATATGTGGTCTGAATATGAATTCAGAACTAGAAATTAAGTTTTGCCTTTTTTTCTTGTAAATCTTCACAGCCAATGGAACATGCAAACATAGATTGTTACTTGTTTCCCTGAAAGTCTCAATGTGATTTAGGTCTGATTTTTGAACAAAAAAATAATATCTAAATTAGTGGTGGGGGCTCCATTTAAGTTTTTAATGGAGTTAATTACAGGGTCTCT